ACTTCACCTTTATCAGATTACTCATTAAACTGCCTCTGTGCACCATTTACATCAGAAATAGGCTCATCTCTTTCAGAGCATCTACCACACAGCTATAGGCAACAGAGATTCAACATTTCTCATAAAAATACATGGGATATTTTTTAATTGTTTACATCTAAACAGTGAAATTTCAAGCAATAATATTACTTTCCTCATGTTGTCCTTTGCTTTTGTAAGATCTTAACCTCAAGATTCAACTGGATTTTCTTTGAAAAAAGAAAATGGTCCCTCTCTGCAGCTGTGGTCTCAAAATATCATTTCTGCATTTATTTTAGCCCATGGAATAAGTGTGCTGAGAAACCACAAAGTTAATCAGATACAAAATGCCCCAAATCCTTCCTGCTTTGGAGTTTTCCATCTTCAGATCAAAGCATTTTTATGCCCGTCAGCAACTTTTTAATGCATTTGCTCCTCGTGTGCACAACTTCCATTTAAAGACGCTCCTTGGCTGACTTCTCTGATGAAGTTGTGTTCTTACCAGGAGAGCAATGCTAATGCAGAAGTTGCAAAGGGGGCTTTAGGTCTTTTTTCTGGAGGACCTGATGTTTCAGATAATATCCAAGTTCAGTTTCGCACCAGAGGCAACAGAATTGGTTTTTAGTGTTTATGACCTGGGAAGATGGAGACAAATACAAATGACCTAAATGAGAATGTCATGTAAGACGACAATAGAAGTAATTACTGGAATTTAAATAGTTTTATGTCCTCAATAAAAAGTAGTTTTCTAACTTAAGCTTACATGTATATGATGGAGTTGATAAAATTAGAAAATGATTTTTTGGCATTTTTTGTAAAAAACTGAGTTGATTTGAATACTCTTGATTGCCTTCTTCTAATGGAAGGAGAAACCATACATGCAACAATAGATTTGGAACAAAGAAAAATGATGTGTTGGCTCTCATAACTCATGAATACTAACTTTTTCCAAAAGGTTATTACCCTTGGGAAGCAGGATTCTTCTTTTCCAAGTGTTCAGTTTTTCGCCTACAGCTAAACCAGGCCTTATAATAAATCACTGTTACTTAAAAAGTGGGGAGGGCATCAAACATATGTTATTGAGCTTTATAACCTCAAAAATGAATGTATTGTTTTTATTTTAACAAGCCACCTTTTTTCTTTGTTTAATCAAATCATAGTATTTCTATACTAACAACTGGAATTGAATAAACTTAAGAGTATTTAAGCTAATTTCTGTAGTAGTCCTAAATCAATTCACCATGATTCAGATTCAATATTTGATAATGAGAGAACTGAGTAATTTATGTACTGAATGTTCATCCTATACTACATATTTAAAACTACAAAATACAGAAATAAGTTCCTGCTTTTCTCAGAGTAAGTACATCTCGATCAGCCTTTTGTCCATTTTTGTTTCCTTCTCTTAGTTAGGAGCATTGTAGTTTCTGAAATGGTGGGATAGAGAAAGAAATGAAAGAAAGCAGGGCTTGATTTGGAGTGTGTTGAATCAGCAAAGGGTGAAGAGAGAGAGAATCCCTCTCATTTTACATACAATTCTTCCAGGAAAAAAAATATAGCCTTGGATTTATTTTTTATCATGTTCTTGATATAGCAAGGAAAAAAGTGAATGCATAGGACCACTTTTATAATTTGTAATGTTCTCACAGAGCTACATTTTATGGTTGCTTCATGGATTTATCTAGGCAACAGGTAAGAAAGAGATGTAGTATGTACAATATTAAAGTGACCTCTGAAACTAATTGCTGATTAAATGAAAACATGGATATATTTTCAGCAATTAGTGGAGACATCAATAGACAACATATATATGTAATTAGTCGTATGGTTTGTTTTATTGGGATTGGAGCAGCATGTCTCTCCTACTCTTTCAAGCTTTAAAGTTTTATAGATATATATTTATATTTTTATAACATATATATGTACATACACACTTCATGTATTTTGATTACTGAGAAGAGGATAATATCCAAATCATATTTAGTTATGTTAGAAAAGTAATAAAAATATGGCAGTGAAATTCTGTAAATAACAGGAAGGACAGAAACTTTTGTTTTCAAATGTATAAAATGCACTGTTTTAATTCTTTTATGTATTATAAAAGAATGTATTATTAAAAATGTTAGAAATGGATATCAAGAAAATAGTACCCATGATTTAACACTTTACCAGAATTTCTTTATAATCTATTATCCATTTACTTTTAAATGAGATACATTTTATAGTAATACATCTATTTTTTAGTTAGAGTTTTAATTAAAGTGAATTCATGTTCACTTAGGAAAAACCAAGCCATTTGGGCAATGCATAACATCCTTAGGCTTGAACACACCACATAAAAATCCACATTGAAAAATAGCATCTACATGGAGCTGATGATTTCAAGAATGCTGGCTGAGCCAAGCTTTATGAAGTTGGCGATCTAATGTATGTCCTTTTCCTCTGCCAAACAGAGGAAGCCATTGCTACAACAAACTACTCAATGCAAGTTTGCTCTTGAAGCCATATATTCAAGGAATTTATTTTTCTATTTATGAAACATTAATCCTGTCTATTCCAAAATCATCCATAGAAATTGATACAATGCCAGCGAGGTATCCCTTCCCTCTGCCAGGACTCGACATAGGTCCCCAGCTGGCCCATTGTGGGCAAGCTTTGTCTGGATTAAGTAGAGGATGCTCCATGGGTCAGGTGGGCTGTTCATGTCACTTTATCATTTTTAAAGAAAGTTACCAATCACAACATATAGACCTTATCTTTTCAAGAGATTATGAAATAACCTTTCTGTCAAGAAAACCTAAATATCACAACCTCAGATTTTATGAGTCATGTGGCAAAATAATTGATATCTTCTCTACCAAGTCAATAATGTACATGTGGCAGTTGTGTTTTCAAGATGAAGGTGAAGTCATAATTCAAAGCACCAATCAGGTTCATGAGAATTTGATCAAGTACTTACTGTTAACTCTAGGGCCATTTATTCAAAAACTCATGGTGTCTCCCCTCCCCGCCCCCAGCTTCTTCAACAACTGTGATTAATCACAGAATTTTGGCATTAATCTTTCTACCAAGGCCATGAGTACTCTTTGAATGAATGACGATTGTTTCTTTGTGTTAAGTCTCTGTGCCTCAAGGCAATTAAAGTTTCTCCACATTCTTCAAAGGTTTCTCTTTCAACTTTTGTCTGAAAACAACATGATAGAACAAGATATATTATCTGCGTTTATGAGTTAGTCTGCATTCAAATGCCTGGTTATTATGGCACTTAAACCTGTTTATCAAAGTAGAGGGCTTATTTGAAAGTTGTGCCTATAAGAAGGCTAGAAGAGAGTCTGGTTTGATCAAAGCATCTAAACCAGGCAGTCATTCAACCACATGGACTGTTGGAACAGGGATTAGACCCCCACAGAGCTGAGTTTATAAAATGGTCAAAAAGAAGTAAAAGATCAAAAAATAGGATTAGTTGTCTATTTTATTGTTCTGGGATTCTGTTTCTAGATTATGAAAGATCAAAGGGGTTCTTCACTTCTTCCTCTATTGGTGTCTAGAACTTACTTCCCAAATAGCGTGGCAGGGCTTATCAGTATATGAAGATTTAGGGTTTTAGTTCAGGCTTTTAAACTTCTTTGTGTAAACTAGATCTTTATCCTCCCATTTCATCCTCTTGACATGGAAGCCAGCCAAAACCTCCCCCTCGATCTTAATCTCTCAGCCTTTGCATAGCAACAAATCATAATTATTGTTCTTTCCATTCGTTTTTAGACCGAGTTCCCTTATCCACTGAATTCTTTTCTTCTCTACTCTTTCTCCCTCCTTCCTGATCTCTTCTGTCTGCCCTGCCATCATAGTTCTAAGACCTTCAGAATATCTCCATCACCCCTGCCTACCCTTATCCTTCACTGGTTGTCAGAGCAACTCCCTGCTTCCTCAAAGACATCTCAACATAGGGAAATATGGGGAAGCAACCTGAGGACCTTTAGTTTTTGAAAAATAATTCGAAAGAAAGTTGCAAAGCCCATGGGAAAGGTTTAGAGGAATTAAAATAGCTTTACTAAGACAGAGCTAAGGGGGGCTGAAGATTGTTGAATTACAGTGCCGGGAAGCCCTATCACAGACTGGTCCATAAAACCATGCTATGTGGGAGAAGACATGGTCCAATTGCCATGCATTTGATGTCCTTGTGGTAAAAATGTGACTAGAAAAACAACAGTAGGTAAAAGCAGATCCAAACTTAAAATGACTCAATCATAAATGGAAACTCAAGTAAAATAAATCCTCCATAAGAATTAGTGTCCATTGCATTTTAACTTCATTAATTTGGGCAATTGCCTCAATGCACATGACTTTCGAAAGGATTTCTAAGTCCACATTGCTCACCTGTCCTTGTGGCTGATTCTTATTTTCATTCTTTATTCTGTTAAGTGCCAGGGACACAATGATTTGAAATTAATTGACTACTTTCACATACCAGGCCCCACATTACATGTTTTACATTTGTTAATTGAGTTAATTCTCACAACTATCCTGAGAATTGAGTTGTATTACCCCCATTTTGCAGAGGATAAACCTAAGGTTCAGGGTGGTTAACAAGGTCACATGCTAATAAATATGAAAGCTTAAACCTCAGTTCAGGCCTGACTCTATTGACCCGGCATTTCACCACCTGTATATATTTATAGTTCTAAGTCCAAAACCGCAGTGTTCTGCCAAGAAATTTGAGGTTTTTGACATCAATTCCAGGAAGGTTTGGGGATATCTGACATGAAAGGAAGGGAGTTGTAAAATTAAGGCCCAGCGATGTTGTAACAAGGTCTCAACAGATCATGGAATGTTCACTCACCTTAAGCTGACCTTTTGGAATAACACAGGGTAATCAGGGTCACCTTTCCTACACTAGGTAGAAAACAGTGAAGTTTATTTTAAACATTTATGGGGAGCCTACTATACAGGGCAATACAGACCTTTGAGACCTTTTGTTTCAGGGAAGAAGGAAACATGCAAATCCCATCCAATTGAAGGCACTATTGATTTAAAGATGCATCCTTTTATCTATTTTCCTTGGTCAAGGAAAAAGGTGTCAAAGCATGTCTTGCTAGTTTATTTCAAATAAGCCACGAATCACAAGAGTCGAATGTGCCTATTTATGAATGCATAGAGTAAATGCCATGCCAGACGTCAATGTGTTTCCAGTGATGGTGTTACAGCTGGGATGAGGATGGGGAAAGAAGACAAGTAGGAAAATATTTCTACACAAAGCAACTTTGGAACTGAATTTGGAGAGGTGAGGAGGTTGGTGGTGTGAAGAGATATACAGGATATTCCATGCAGAAGAAATAGAATGGGTGAAAAAGTGTGCCTGTCCTGCGATGATGAGATGATGAGAAAGGAGACCTGGAGGCAGGATGGTGATTAGCAGTCAGGCTCTCAAGCTGCAGGCCAGACTAGGCTGTCTTGAAGACCATGCTAAGGAGTTTGACTTAGCATATTGCAGGCAAAAGGAAGACACTGAAGAAAATCAAGCAAGATGCTGAGTCTATTAGGGGCTTCACAAATTGCTACTGTTACATCAAACCATTGTCACTTCAAACTACGTGCACCTGTTTTCCCTGCTGGACATCTATGGTCAGGAAACTACTATTAGCAGAATTTCTGATTCAAAGATTGTCGGTAAGATTCTCTCCTCTGTTATTTGAACCCATTGTACTTTTTTGAGCTCTCTCTTATTGATGACCTCATGATTTATGTTTTGGCATATTCTTTTTGAACATAGTAAAACCTCATCTCTGTCTTATCAATCCTATATTAGTATCTGTTCTGAGCTCAGTCTACTAGAGATGGCATAATAGTGGGTACACTGAATGGTGTACCTGTATTTACAGATGGAAAAAAAATTCCACTTATTCTCTGTTTTGCCTCTGAGGAGTAACAGAGGGAATGGAATATCCCTACATATGTATGCTTCTGAGTATGGTAGTCGGCCTCCAAGGCACTTCCCAGTGGTCCACTAGCTCAGGGCAAGCCAGCTGCAATGTCACTGAGAACACTCACACAACGCATGGCAAGGAATGGGGACAGCCAGACATCAGCCAGTGAGAAACTGAGGACTGCCAACAACCTGCTCCAGGCAGGTCTTCTAGCCCCCTGCAGGCACTGTTGCCCTGGCCAACAGCTTGACTGTAGCCTCAAGATACCTACCCTGAATCAGAACCACCAGTTAAACTGTTCAAGTTGGGGGTAATTTGTTATAGACAACTAAAACATTTAGCATATGTCATTCCAATTTTATGTGCTTGGGGGCCATAGGCAGGTAGGAACAAAGAAAGTTGAGTACTCAGGTTTAGAAAACAAGAGAGTTCATAGTTCTAATAAAAAAGAAAAAATGGGTACTTTGCAATTTTTGCCTTAGCTTAATTTTAAGGTAGATCTATGTCACAGTCCAGATTCAGTGTTCAATGATTTATTGCCTAAATGTACAATAATCTATCTAGTCTCCTAAATGAGACAAGAAGAGTGGGCTGGTGGAAAGAGGGTTAAGAACCTCCCTCTAAGAACCGAGTTTGTGCTCCAGCTCTTACTATTTGGTTAGCAATGAGGAATTTATTTAATCTGTTTTAAATCATGGTTTCCATCCTAATAAAAGGGATATAATAATTTATGTCCTGCATATCTTGAGGATTGAATAAGTCAATGTGTGCAACAGAACTTTGTAAACTACAAGACACCATCTAAATAGAAGGTACTTTACAAACGGTAATGCTGATGTGTTTTGGGGTTCAACAGACCCCATTTACAGAGTCAACTGGAGGATGGCCCTTTGATAACTCACATTCTTTCCCGGGCAGACTTCTGGTGACTTGGGCACCAGGTAGGTATGTGTTAAGAACAAACTTCCGGCCTCCTCAGTATTCAACTTGATTTTGAGAGGAAAGAATCAAAGAGAGTTCAGAATAGCATGTACTCCTCTAAAAGGTGAACCTAGTACTATCTCTTACAATGGTAGGAAAAATTTGGGCTCCAAACTTGAGTCAGGAAAAGAAAAAAGTACTCTTGTCATGAAGAGAATCCCAAACTTATACTATATAAATTTTATATATTAAGCTTCTACACAAGTAAATCCATGGACTATACCTAGCTGGTTTTATCATAACATGTTAAAAATAAACATTTTCTGTCTTACATTTTGAATGCAAATTTTAAAAAATGATAGTTATTTCCTTGTGACTACATAATGTCTTACTTTTCTTCCTTATTTCTAGGGTCCTGGAATTATAATAAAAGAACTGGATTTTAAGTAGTCTATTCAGAGGCCTGTTTTCTAAAGACTTCCAGGAAAAGTACTGCAGATGCTGCTGGTACACATACATAGCTCCTTACTACCATCCCTGCAACTCTCTGCCTTAGAGCTTTCTTTGGCCACACAAGCAAGCTGGGCCCATGCATGTGAGAAGGCGGCTGGAAGTTCTGGGACATCAACAGCCCTAGAGGCAACCCTCAACCAACAGAAGTCAGGAGTGGGTAGCTAAATACTCCAGCTTCCTTGCATCTCAGGTGGGACAACTCTAAGGTGGTGTGTTCTACCTGGGAGGATTAGGCCTTAGTTGCCTAGAGTCCTAACCTGCTCATCAATATCTCCTGTCTGGGTGTCCTTCCTTTTCTGTCTCACTTCCCTACATCACTTCCCAAATGAACTATGTGGATCTCAGGGTCTGGTTTTGGGGGGAATTGAACCTAAAGACTTCCTCAATTGTTATAAAATTATTTCTAGCCAGCTCCAAATTACACGTCAGAATGTTCCTTTACCAGTGATATTTACATGGGAAAATATGCATGGATGCCATTTCAGAAAACGGTCACAGAGTTACTTCAGCCAGAACAGCATATCGGAACCACATTTTCACAGCTCTATAATAAAATAGACAACATATTCTAAAGGGAAGTTTTTCAAATGTAGAAATTCTTATGATCATATTTGTTATTTCATCTTGTTACATAATAATAGGAATAACTTTTTCCAGGTACCTTTCATAAATTAGTTTGAAACTCCTTCCAACTCTTGAGTCATCAATTGTTTCATAGACACAGCTGGGGGAAATTTGGGGCAAGGAGGAGACGGTTGCCAGAGGAATCGGCCCTATGATTAGAGGGTTGGAGCTTTCAGCTCCACATACCACCTCCCTGGGAAGGAGAGGGCTGGAGATTGATCTAATCACCCGTGGACAATAATTTGATCAATCATGCCTACACAATGAAGTCTACCTGAAAAAACCCTATGTGATGGGGTTTAGAGAGCCTCCGGGTTGGTCAAAACACTGACGTGCTAGAAGGGAGATGTGTAGGGAGAAGGTATGAAAAGTCCACATCCCTCCCCATATCTTTAAGTGTTCCTGGGTTGTATTTTCCACAATAAATTGGTAAATGTAAGTCAATGTTTCCCTGAGTTCTGTGAACTATCCTAGCGAATTACTGAACCTGAGTAGGGATTATGAGAATTCCCCATTTCTATAGTTGGTCAGTCAGAAATGTAGGAGGCCAGGACTTTGCTACTGGCTTGTGAAGTAGGTATAGTCTTGTGGGATCTCATGCTAATGCCAGGTATCTACTGAGAGTTGGGTACCATGGGAGGTAAACCTCACACATTTAGTATCAGAAGTGTTGCTCATAGGAAAAATTATTTTTGTTGTTTGATTATTTCTGTGTCATTTCTCATCGCTGGGTAGTGGTCCCTTTGAGTAACAGGTTTCCTTGATGGGGCCTCTCTTACAGTGCTCCTAAAGGAGAGAGAGTTCTTAGGGAGATTAGGGGTGCCTTCACTCTGTTTCTCTCCTTGCCAAACCCTGCCCCAAGGGCAGTCCTTGGGATGATGGGTATCAACAAGCAAAATCCCACCTAGCTGTCTTCTGTGCTATTGTCAGGAAACTCATACATCCTTGTGCAATATAAGTAGGAATGCAAAATAGTCCATGGCTGCCTTCAACACCAGGTTGTCTCTTTTCCCACACTCCAGTGTAGGTAGGTCACCAAGTCTACTGCAAGTACAATTCTGGGGCAGAGGAAAATCCCACTCAGTGTATCTACGTGAATTATTGATTAATCCTTAGCACTTAATATAGTACCCAAGACAGAGGAGAAATTGAATAAATATTAGTTGGGTGGACAAAGGTTTAACAGCTCAATGACTCTTCATTGACAAAAAGACGTTTCTCAAGGCAGAGCCAAAGTGCTCCCAATTCCATTATGGAACAACATCTGTTCCCCAATCCATTTATATGATGCATTATATATACGGAGACTGTAATTAAGTCACTCTTAGCCTTATCCTCTTTTGGCCAACCAACATCATTTCCGTGATCCCTTCGTCTTAAGCCTGGGTCTCCAACTCTTTAATCATTTCTGCTCTCTTCTACATCCAAATGTCCCACTTTTAAACTGTGGAGATCTAAATGGAAATCTATCATAATGATGCTGTAAAAGTTTGGCAAATTTCAGAGGAAACCAACATCTGTTTGGTCCTTTCTCATTTTCTTCTTGCTGCCTTTTCATTGAGATTCTCAGGAAAAGCTGTAAAATTTATTTTTAAAAATAATTCAACAACATCTATTCTTGCCCATGTCTTCCTATTTGCACAAATATAATTTCTATGCAAAAATGCATTCATAAATGGAGGGCTAAGTTCACAAATATAAGCCTTTACATAATATTTTCAAATGTTTTGCATGTATTTTTACTTACCATTCTGTTGTCTTTATTTGAACTTTTCCTATGCTTTAGGTATAGACCCACTGAATATGAATAAAAATAATATTACACAGCATGTAACCATATACCAGAAAAGTTTTGCATGTATTAACTTAGATAATCTTCATAACAACCCAGTGAGCCAACTACTAAAGATGTGCCCAAGAGAAGCATAGCAAGTGAGAATCAGAGCTGGGATTTGAACACTGGAAGGCAAGTCCTGGAGTCTGTGCTCTTATTATGACATGTTGCTGTCCATTTATGAGTATCGAGGTACACTGGCCCTTTTGTAGGTTTCTTTATATTGGTGATCTTTAATATACACAAGTATACTTTGCGTTTAAAGATGACTTTTCTAATACAGTTATTATATAGGAGGACCGATATTGGTTTGACTGAAGAAGTGACGCACGGCTGTTCCTTTACTGATGTACTCTTTGTTCCCTTATGTTAAAAGAAGGTTGTATTTACTTTTTGAATGTGAATCCTATGGTCGCTAAATATTGATGAATTAAATATTCTCTTTAGGTCAAACACAGCTCATCTTACCATCATGAATTGCAAATGTAACCTCCAGCAGTCCTATAAATTTGTCCCAAACAGCTGTAATGTACATCTCAGGTTACCCAGAAATACAGAAGAATGCTTGATCTTGCCCTGAGTATAATTCATTTCTGAGTCAGTTTTCCAGAACAGATGGGACTATTGTTACCACCCAGGTCTTCCTGTAGGGCTTTTGGAAACTGGAACTGCCCTTCAGGGAACTGAAAAGAACCTATTAAATTGGTGGTGTAGTGTCTATACCCAAGTAAACTTGCTCCAGCTTCAGTTACTTGGATTGTTCTTTCTCTAAACAATCACCTTGCTGAAGATAGATAACTGTATCCCAGCTTATTTTCTTTGGATTAATAAATTGAGTAATATTAAAAACTGCTTTAAGAGCCCAAACCTATAGGTGTTGCTTCTAACGATTTAAGAAGGAGATTTGGGAAAATACCTCTAGTGTTTGGATTTTTGTTTTTTCCAACTCTATGCATGTATTTCTTTACAAGTAGTGATCTGAGCAGTGAGATTAAGGACCACTTTATTTCCATATATTTTTCTGTATTAAATAGAAATATTTAAAAATGTAAAGTACTTTAACTCAGTCAATGTATTTAGATAGTTGGTTAGTTTGACTTGGGAAGGTGTGCCTATCTTTTTTTATTAATTTTCCAAATAGGAAATGATTTTTATCTAAGTTTACAACAGCTAGTTAGTGGATAAGCAGAAACTATTAAAGAATCCAAGGTCTCCTAACTATACCAGTAATTTTTCTATGAAAGCCGTGTCTCCATAAGTACCTATTTACGTTATATGACATTAATTTAATGGTGGCCCATTGAAAAGCCAGTTTTAGAACAGTATAATGAAATTCCATTGGATTTAATGAATTACAACCATGTGAATGGTGCCAGTTGGGGGACAACTCATTTTTGAGGAATTGGGAGGATTTCTATGAAAATATTTATCTAGTGATTTCATGCTACATTCCCTTTTGGTTTGGGGAAAATGGGGGGTAAAATGAGAAACCTCACTGCTTTAGACTCAAAATACACACTCTGTCCAAATACTAAGGCCTAGATTTGGAAAGGGAAAAATAAAAGTTATCAGCATTGAATACCTGGAACCTCTACTAAAAAAGCCCAGACTTTTTTCATTAAGAAAAATACACTCCAAGTAGAAATATTAACTATACAGAAGGGTCAATTCCTATTACTGTTACATAAAAGGCTTTTTAGCCCCTTTGAAATCAGCAAAACAGATGTAGGATCCTTGGGCCAAATAATGAAAAATTTTTTTTTCCGGAGCTTAGGGAACACACATGTGGCTCTGGCCTCCCTCCGGTTTGCCTTTGTCTTTAATAATGAGGACATCGTCCCAGAGGATAGTTCCCCTTTCCATATAGAAACGTGGGGATGAACAAAACTGAGGCAGGCCACTCGGTTGTTGGGCTTTTGAGGTTTATATTGATCAATGGCCTGTGGACAGCCTTCCTTCCCTCCCACTCCAAATCTATTTATGCTTTTGCAAAGTCCTAAAAGAAGATTTACTTCTTATTCCTTTCCTGGTTCTTACTAACTGGTGGGAACCTAAAATTACATGAAAAAAAAATAGATCCCTGAATAATTTTTTTAGGCAAATTCCTTTACAAGGAAAAATTGCTGACTTACTTGTAAGCCTCCCCCTAGAAGTTTGAGATGTTTATGATAAAATAAATTCTCATATTTCACCAATTACCCTCCTCCCCTGAAAAGATTAATTCAATTGCTTATACCCTCCATTTTGCAATTAATTTTCATTAAATTAATGGTTCTAATTAAGGAAATGATAATATGGTTTTTTTTTTTTTTAAATATAGCAAAAAGACCCTGAAGCCCTTTTGAAAATAAGTGAACTGGCCCCAAGAGAAGTCAATTGGTTCAGGAACCATGCAAGTGGGGGGTTTTGGAAAAGAAGAAAGCATGTCAAAGAAGAAAGCAAGGTGCTGAAATCAGTGGAAGAAGCCTTGTTGGCAACCAAGCAGGAGGCAAAGCCCCAAAGAAAGAAGGCTGAACTCACCGGGAAAGGGGAAAATTAGCCACAAAAGGTCCAACCTTTCTTCCTACAGATAAAAGGGAAACTTCAACAGTCCATACCTCCTGACAGGAAAAATAAAACAAACCTTAGAACACTTCCACCCAGACCATAGCTTGCCCAGAAATGGTGAAAATTTCTAGAAAAAATCCTTTAATGAAGATTTTTAAATAGGTAAAAAAAAATGTTTTTTTAACTGGGGGGTACGTTTATTGGGGGGAGTTTTCCCCAGTCAGGCAATTAAAAGGAAATATCCTAGATCCCTTTGTCCCTTACTAGCCCTACCATAAGGAGTTACAGAGAAAAAAATAATATTTTAGAGTCAATGAAAAAACAGGAAAGGGAGAAGAACTCATTATAGCTCAATGAATGGGAATGAGCTGAGAAGGAAACAACGGGAAGGGAGAAGAAAGAGTCCACACCAACAGGAAATCTCAGGCACGCAAATGGGGGGAATATTTATTGTTATTTAAGCCAGTTCCAATTAAAACATTTTCCCCAGCTGCTTAGGCTTTGAACTGTGGACATCAGGAATCACTTTTCCCACTTTAGATGTGGAAGTTTTTAAATTACAGAAGAGAAAGGAAGGAAATGGTGAGAGGAGGAAAAAACCCAGATTCTTGTTGTGGGCCCAATCTTTGAAATTTTTATTGGTAATTTTTCCCCCCTCAATTAAGAACATGCAAGGAAAAAGCAAAAAAAAGGAGGGATTTAACAGTAAAACTGCAATTAACCTGGATTACCACAAAAGACTTTTGGAAGGAGGGAGCTTTCTTTTATTTATGAGTTAAGCTTCTTCACATAATGCATATAAAAGGGTGTTATAAAGTCAACTGACCACTCTGAAGATGCCAATATCAAATGAATTGGAACCTATCTCTTGGATGTTAGAATTGCTACCATTTATCAAATGCTTCCCATAATCTGGGTATTGTTCCAGGCAATTACTTGTTATTTCATCGAATTCTTCTAGCAGCTCTGTGAAGTATTATTACCCTGAAAGAGTACTTGAGAGAAGGTAAGTAACTCATTCAAGGAGATATAGGTAGGAAATAGAAGAGCCAAGGCTTAAATCTTTAAGTCTCTCTGATAGAGTCTATGCTCTTTCTACTATTCTATGCTCCCTCTGTCCACCTTAGCTATAGCTTGACGAGGAAAAGAAAGTCTTCTGAGGACATGGAAACCGAAGTCAGTACTCCTGAGGGAAGATGGCTAAATAAGAGGATTTAAGATGATAACATGGAAAACAGTGCGTGGTATAGACATCTAGCACAATGCTTGACCTAGTGTGGGTGTTTGTGTTGATGGAAAACAAGGAGAGAAAAAGCAGGCATAGGATGGATAGATAATTGGCCAAGGAGGAAGATTTTCCTCTTCCTTTGAATGAAATTTACAGGGATCTGTGTGGAATCCTAAATTTCAAAGAAATGGAGGGAAGCATACACAGCTACGGTCATGTCAGAGTTAGGATTCCCGTAGGAATGGGAGAGGCACATCTCATCAAGATATGAGGGTCAGAGACAGGGTCTCTCAAACTCTTCAGATAGAATGCATCCTTACCCCTTAGCTCATGCGGGATGGGGAAAACATTTAAAAGTTTGGATTTCAAAGGTATGGGATATGTATGTATCTCTTACAATTGCCTGTTTTGTCACTTCCTTCTGTTAAACTTTAAAGCTGTTTCTGTGTTAAGATGTTTTGCCAGGATGAGTGCACAAGAAAGTGATTGTCTTGTTCTTATACTGTAGGTCATGGTAGGCTTTTTCTTCAACACTACAATCTGAGTTTGTAGCATTATCTCGTATGTTTTGAAAGAAAAAAAGGCAACATTTGAAATTAGAGAAAACCTTAAGTATTTAGAGGTTTTGATCAGACTTACTCTCAAGTGTGGAGCTTCCATGACATAGCATCACCGTCACAAGAGGCAGTCAATCGTGGAACCCAAGATAGAAGACCAAATAGAAAGTTATCTGTTTTTTAAACCCCATTTCTTAAGGTATCTGAACTACGCCTAAGTCTGTTTTGTCACAGTTACAACTAGAAAGTTAGATTTCTTCAGTTTACATTTCAAACATTTCTAGGGGGTTAAACTCTTTTTTCCCTTTCTTTTACATATTGGTAGTAAATTATATTTTTTTCAAAATATACATGTATTTCATGATTTCTTATTAATGTAAAAAGGCAATATTTTTCAGAAGTAAAAAATAATCATAAAATTAAAGAGGAAATGTTACCATCCAAAGACAACAATCTAGATATGTCCCACAGGGCTGTTTTCATATCTTTGGGAATGGAGAAGGGTGATAAGCTTCTACAGGACCCTTTTTCAGGCAGCTGAGATAAAGATATGTGCTGCTCTTTTTGTTCCCTGGGACTCATAGCCTCGAAGAAGTGTGGTCCAGGAATCCACTGCAGTGTCTACAGTCTTAACATGATTTTGCATATTCATAGATGACTCCCTAGTGACCTAGCAGCAACTTCTCCTAATTTGGGCCTGACTGTCGGGTCCTGGTCTCATTTTTGTTCTAGGGAAGTTGCCCAATGTGATTGTTTTTATACTTAAATCTAAGGATGATCAGATTTTGGGCATGTATTTCCTTTTTTAGACAGAAGCTATTGATTATACCCTATACTGAAATAAGTTCCCCTGGACCCTTCTTTTTTAAAGATTCCTTTCTTAACTCAGGCATTAAGCTGCATGGCCTCATTTTTAACAATTATTTTGTTTTCATCTTTCTTGGATGCATATTTTATTTACTGTAGCATGTTCATAAGTGATTTTTATTTTTTACACATCTGAAAAACTGAGATTAGCTAGTTTTTGTATGGTACCTATTAATGATACCTTTGAAGAAGTGTTTTATTCAATTTATGTTGACTGAAAGTATTGAGATTTCTTAAGCCAGATTTGCTTTCCTTTTTAAGCTCAAACTGTCTTGTGACCAAAGACCCTCCTTAAATACAGGTTCAAATGGATCCCACACAAAGAATTACCAGGAAAACACATTTACCTTAACATATGACATTTTAAGTCATACTTTCTCCCCCATCCTACTGTATTGCTGAGTTATAGATAGGAGATTAAACACTTTTCACCTAAAGAAAAATAAAAACTTCTCAAACAAAGTAGAATAAGTAAAGCTATAGGTTCATTAGTATCACTTTCTTTCCCATT